GCCAGTTGTTGCCTTGAAGAGGCAAGCACCGATTCACGAGATGGTGGTCGATTCCCTGCAGCAGACAAGGTAATCGCCACATGATGTTGTTTTTGACTTCAAAGTCTGCTCAAACGTCACGTCGATGTGCCTTTGAACGTCAATTCCAGAAGAAGGCGTATCCCCTCCTGTATCTCCATTTATGAATTTTGGAGAATCGGGTCGCACCGAGAGCCGTGACGCACATCTCTTAGCGTGTCAAATCGCCGAGAACAAGATCTGTCCCTTCCGATCGGTTGTCCAAAATAAAACGAATATTGCAGACTATCAAGGCGAGTAGTGTCGCTGTCTTACGGTGCAACAACAGCCTGGTTTGTGCATTTCGTTAGTTTTTTTTCGTAACCTCGATGGCCTTCTCTTCGGGCCGTTTTCTCAGCGATTTAAATTCCGTAGTCTAGTTGCCATATTAAGCACTTACTGACACATTGCAATTTTCTTTTTGTTTGCCTAGGTGTTTCGACCTCTCTTACCAGTCCAGCGTACCGGCAGCTGAATCATCAGAGTGCACCCGGCGAAACTTAGTGACCGCCAATGCATTATCACCTGCCCAACCACCACCACCACAACAAACGACACTCGATGTCCAGGCGCCAGCCCTCTTCGGAAACCGGCTCATGCGGCCGGGCTTTCGTCGCCGCATACAACCGGGCAGTCGACTGCCTGAGGATCGTTCCGGTAGTCTTTTACTTTCCCTGCATCCTCTTGGAAGTCGTTCTAATTTGACCGCCACTGTGGAGACAAGTTCACATGGCGTTAGAATATCTAATAGTGACACAGCCCTGCAATTTTCTGATTGGCGCTCTGCGTAAGACACTTTTCGACTACTAGCACCATACTCACCTCCTGGTTTGGCATAAAAGCGATTTGAATTTTTATCACACCATAGCATTCAAAAAATAGACGGAGTCCCTTGCTTTGTTGAGCCATGTCCGTAATTACTCTACGGTTTTTCTTCTGGTCTGAGCTCCGACAAGGAGCGTAGCTTGCCTGCGTCGGTATTTTTTTGCCTATCCAAAAGTTATCGACATTCGTGAGTGATTGATATCAAGAAAAAAAAGAAAGCATGTCTTCATTCCACTCATCAATCACGGACATTAATTGCGTTTAGTACTTTTGTTGAATAAGAACGTAGATTTATGGTTACTTTACTTTTATTTTGGACAGTCCTACCATTTTCGTGATAGCGAACCTTCCAGGCCATGCTTTGAGCCAGTATGTAGCATAGTAGCTGGGCAATTGCAAATTTTCTGCTAGCGTGGTTAGCGCGTTTACATAATGCTTCTATAGGCAGCTCACATTAAAAGTCTGTAAATTTGAATCTGCGTCACAGACGACAACACCCAGCATCTAGAAATAGACTCAGACCCTCAGCGTTTCACTGGATTGCGACGGGGATCGTTTCGAAGGGATAGTGACACAATTTTGTTATTTTTAACTGGAACCGACCTGCTTTCGGCGGAGATGCACACCATATCAGTTGAATATAACGCACTTGTGTCCGGAATCCTTTGCTGCCATTCTAAGTTTGATATCCTTTAATGACAGCTTGTATGAAAGTTCAGTATGTGGTTCAGTACATTAAGAGCAATTGGCATTATTAAGAGGTTTGGCAGGTTTGCTTGATTTG